TTTCAGAATTCCGGCAGCTATTGCATGAGATAGTGAATCTACTGTATATGTGTTACGGCCATCTCAATAGTCGCCAGTTGTAACTCACTTTTTTCTCCTCTCGCGCATTCGCACCATACAGGGGATCAGAGCCAGTAGTACAATTAACAGAATTCCAGCGCAGATCACTCCAATGATAAGGAAGTTGCTCGTCTAAAACACAATTAAATGCAAAAGTATTGTAACAAAGGGTGAATTTGGATTTTCCGAATAGCGTATCTTGAAGGCTATACGCATGAAACAATAGGATCTGTATGCACCAGCAATATTTGTAACAGGGATGCCGTTTTTAGCGGTGACAGTAAAGATTATATTTGCTGCCATATATCTGAGACAAATGCCTGCTCTTATTATCTGTAGAAGGACTCAATTGTCAACCGTATTTAGAACAGAATCGGCTAAAGTGATTATCGTGGCGCCGCTTTAAAAGAGCGTATGTAGTATTAAAATTTGAAATCAAAAATATAAGGAAAGTGGCATAAGGCAAAAGAGAGTTTTTTTTTAAGAAAACTTCATTCTGGGCTGAATTATAACATTGCGCAAACCACTAGAGACAACATAGCCAACCCTATGTCTGGCAGAACACGGATTGTCTTCAAAGTTGTCATCTTTTGCATTATGCATTTTTTGAATTATCGTCCTTGTGTTATGCGCCTCGCCTCCTAAAACGCGGTTATATTTAACCTTAGATCGGTCATTTGTAATATAGCCATTATGCAAAATTCAAGTTGTCTTGAAACGTAATTATTTTATGTTACTAAGTAGTAATTTATAAATAAGGCATGATTTTTTAAGCATGTTCAATTTTTTACTGTTGTAAGACCTTGGGAGACGCAGTGTGGCCGGTAGGTTCCAAACTTTTTCGGCAATTTAGAAATATTTTTTTAAAATCGAATGATACCCTCTCGTCAATTATTACATTTGAAAAGGGGTATCTCTTTCAGTTGGGTACAAGTGGGAGAATAATTCTGTTTATGTTTTCTTTAAAGTATATTTGAATTCAAGAATGCAGGAGAACGTTCGTGTTCCAGGTATTTGCATGGGAAAGAAAGAAGGATGGCCGAGCACCGGATCACTTTGTTTATTGTTCTGAACTTACGATCTCTTACAGGCATCCATCTCTTCCTTATATTTGAATTTTTAAGGTCAATGAAAATCAGCGAATTGAATGCATACTGCATAAGTAGTCATTTCTTACAGAATGAATCTTTGCAAAAGGTCGCAAAGAACCTCATTCAAAGCCGGCAAGCCGACTGTAATGTCTTGTGATAAGACTGCAGGATAACCAGCATAGCAACCCCAATTAATGCCATTTTCCGAGTCATTATCATGCTTTCGCAAATTTTGACATTTTGCATGAGTTTGTACCCGAACCAGAAGTTTTACTTAGTTACCCGGATTTTCCAGTTTTCGGAATTTTCTATTATCCTAAAAAACGCTGGTAATATTACTTTCTTAACAGTAATATACCTTCTTTTTGAGAACGAATTTACCTTTACTGCTATAAGACTTCTGGGGACGCGGTGTGGAGGTATTTTCCAGAGCAGGAGTTTTCTTCCTAATCTCATGAGATTTCGTGAGATAGACAGTTGACTCTTTATATCTGCGTTTTTCGCATGTCAGAAAGTACTTAACTGTTACAGAGCCATACACTTACATAGAGTTTATTTATTCATTTAAAAAATGTCTAGCGCTCTGGGAACTCTTCTAGCTGAACTTTTAATGTTTTCGACTTAGGCTCAGAAAAACCGTGAACAATTGGATGCCACTTACGTCACGCTCTTCGCATCGAACTCCTGTCCAGCCAGTAACACAGATACACTTGTAGGCGTTCGTGCGATCCTCGCAGACGCCTCTATTGTTGCAGACGGGCGACAAATTACCTTTGGCGGTAATAGGGACTACTTTGGAGGTATTACCGCGCAAAAGGGCGCCCGTGATGTTTTGTTCAGCTGCTTCACATGGCGAAAGCGGGGTATTGCATACTTTGCCCTTCCAACCCGGCGGACATGAACACCGGAAGTCAGCGCCCAGGGGTGTGCAGACGCCGCCATTTTGACACGGATTCGATCCGCAGGGGTTGTAACTCGCTTCACATTCAGGTCCTTTAAAGAAATTGACAGATCGCAGATAGAGGTGAGAAAGAAAAAATTCCGTCATCTGAGGACTGCTTTTCAGGTGGCTGTTCCCACTTTCTGTGAGTATTTATATAGCCCAGGTGATCGAATTCTCCAAAGGAGAGGCGAACGTTTAGGATGTATAGGTGGTCGTGTAAATAATTGTATAAGTCAAGCAAACTCTTTTATTGTATTATTATTTGTAAAAAGACGCCCCATGTTCGTAGCAGTTAGTGCGGTTAATAAATGATTTTATCACAATTTTTGTCCTTTTAAGTAGTACCAAAAAACCATTCTTGCTCTATTTTATAGCTTTGACGATATTTAAACGAAAGATATGTGGTCCTGGTGCATATTGCACGCAGCCAAACCCACTGACGTGTTTGATACACTTAACCGACGTTAAGTTATCTGGAATTTTAATACATACGACAAAGATAGCTTAAGTATTGCACCTCATATACCCCTAATCCCAGCATTTTGTCCTACAGAAACGGTGGTTATAGGGTTTTTTGGAGGTGAGGAATAAGGATAAGCAGCGGAATGTACGTTAATAACTGCTCTATGCACATCTATTTTATTGTATTCAGAAATGTTGTTGATTTATATCTGTAGATTTGCCTAAGTTGTGTTATCGTTTAACATATTGCAGAAAAACCCGATCATCAACATGCAGGTTTCTCGAAATTCCTGAAAAATAGAAATGGTGGTTAGAAGGTCGCCTACTCCAACTGACCTTCAATTTACATGCGGAACAACCTGCTCCCAGCAGCCACGGGAAACAAATTCGACTACATTTTTTACCCTTTAAACTTACTTCTAAAAAAGTTGCTTCACGGCCTATCCTATTTAACCAACCCCAAAACCCTATAACTATTGTTTCGTAGGACAAAATGCTGGGACTAGGGGTATATGAGGTGCACCACTTAAACTACTTTTATTGTATATATTAAAATTCTAGATAACTTAACGTCGGTTAACTTTATTAAACACGTCAGTGGGTTCGGCTGTGTGCCACATACCTTTCGTTTCAATATCGTCATAGTTATAAAATAGAACAAAAATGGTTTTGTGATACTATTTAAATGGACGAATATTGTGATAAAATCATTTATTAACCGCCTTAGCTGCTACGAACAAAGAATAATAATACCGGAGTTTGCTTGACGTATGCACTTCTTTTCACCGCCACCCACTAATCTAAAACATTTCCCTCTCCTTTGGTGAATTCTAACAACTGGGCTATATACATAAATACTTACGGAAAGTAGGAACAGCCACCTGAAAGCAGTTATCAGATGACGTAATTGATTGGTTAAACATCCAAAATGGTAAATCTCATTGCCGGCAAAGAGAACGAAGACTGGACTGGTCTTTGCTGGCTCATTAATATCATTAGTCAACCATATCCCACCCCAAGTGATAAACCACCCCTTTGTCAACGACTCAAAGTGGTTCCTACACAACTACAACTCGTGGGTGAATAGTGCTTATTGCCATGACAATCCTTCTGTCCATTTCGAGGGCGTACACGCATATAGATAATCCCCAAACCACTGGCATAATAGGATAATGTGCCCCCTCTTCACCCCGCGATTGTTCAAGCATTTCTTTTAGAGAATGCTGACTACAGTGCCTCTAAAATTTCTTAATTAAGTTAATCACACGCAGGCAATGACTAAATGCCTAGGGACCGTACGTCAGTGTGTTAGGCCATTTCATCCGTTTCATATACTCGGATATGCACGCTTGAAAATAATTAAAAAATAACTGTCAAGCGTATTGTTTCTTTATTGTTATCTCTGGTCAGGAATTAACACAAAGACAAAATGTGCTTCCCTTTGATCACACGCTTTAACCTGCCTACCATTTATAATGCGGGTAACCGACGAATGTTATTCGTAGACAGTTGCTAGGGGGTCTGGAATTTGTATTATCAGTGGCACTTATTTGAAT